TTCCCTGCCAGCTTCCCCATTGACTTTGAATGGGGAAGCTGGCAGGGAAGGTCACAAGTCATGTTGATACGTCATTCACACTCTCCCCCACCTGGCAACAGCCATCCCCGGTCCCACCACACTTGTGCCATGCACCATGCCTTACCTGCTTGCAAGCTGCCTGGGACTTGCTCAACCACCCACAATCCTCTCTTAACAGCAGGAACAGGGAGTGCCAGGATTGCCGTCACTCAGCAATGTGGTTTACAATGGCATCGCTTAGCAGTGGAAATGCTGCTCCCAATTACCGTTGTTAACCAAGGACTACCTGAACTGGGTCCCCTAACATTCTGATTGTAATGCTTGGGGGAAAAGCCAGGTTTTAGCAGCCTTCCAGAGGGCTGTGGCTTAGACGCACACCTAAAACATTTAGCAAGGCTGCCCAGATTGGTAGGTTAGGTTATCTTGCATTAGCTCTGCCCCTTCTTGTAGGATGCTATGTTATGCCTCTCCAGATAAGCATATCTAATCATTTGCAGTTGTCTTGGCACCACAGGACCTTTGATAGCATTGCTTGGGGAAGGAGGAGATGAGTTGGCTCCTGCTGCTCATGAGATGCCTTTTTTCTCTTCTTGGCAATCCATTCAAATGTTTAACAACTGAGGAAGCTAAAATCAAATCATGTGGATGTGAACTGAGCAGGGCTTCTGTGTGCTCTGGAAAACAAGAATCTTCTGGCACGGTCTCTTTTATACATTAGATGTGTAACCTGTAAACATCAACAGAAGCTCTTCCATAAGTTTGTTGTCATGGGCATCTTTGGCCTATTAGCAATGTCTTTGAAGAGCACTGTTCTAATTTGACATGTGATAGTTCATGTTGTTCATTTGACTGGCCAGCAACAGAGTCTAATCTATTTTTATTTCTATTCAGTGTGGTTGATATATGAGTAGAGGGGTTCTCAGGCAGTGTATTAAGGTTTCCTTGTTAAGAAAAGCACCAGAAGTGGACGGGTTTCTCAGAAAAAAGTTTTTGTACCACTCACATTTACTTGCAATATGCAATTGTAGTGGCTTCAGTTTAGGAAGTGTCTTGCAAGTACCTAATAAAAGGAGACTGCCCTTCCCTCTTCTCTGGTGCAGCCCTAGGAAGTTCTTGAAAAAATGTTGAGTAAGGATGGCAGAACCATGAAGAACTGAGCTCAGACATCTGTCAGCAGAAAAATACCACTGATCCAATGAAAACAGCATATTTATCTCCATTACTTTGAAGTGAAGGTACAACATAGCCAAGGCAAGCTAATTTAGTCTGATACTTGGGCAGATAATCCTACAACTTCCATTACTTACCCACAATATGTTTCTATTCTTTCATTATTTATATTCTGCTTATGGCCACTGAGACAAGTCAATATGTTTAATTGTATAATTAAAGTTAATCAAAACAGTTCAACACAGTGGTGAAACAAATAGTGAATTTCATCACCCTTTAAACTGATGAAGTATATTTAAGATTTCATCTTTAATTATGATCCTAATTCTGTCATAAATCAGACCCCAGAAGTTACCAACCTGCACAAATATTTTACTCACCTGCTTCTTCTTGAAAAAGGGCCCTTGGCCCGTAAGGCAGAATTGGAACTGCTCTGTTTCTCCAGTGCCATTTCCAACTAGTTTCCTATATTGACAAGAAGTGCAAAAACTTCCCATCATGACCAACACAGAAGCTGTTTGTTGAAGGTAGGGGACATGCCCTGTTCAGCCTTTGTAAAATTCCTGTACGGAATTCTTTATTATCTAGAGAGACTAGGCAAGTGCATAATTAATAGACTGTCCTAAAAAAAAATTAATAGCAGAATTCCAAAAATAATTGTTTAAAACAACTATAATTGGATGCTGCTGTGGAAGGATCCTCCCCACCCCCAATACCTATTTCCACTTATATTTTTCTAATCTTTATATTTTCTCTATTGGTTTTCTATGGTGGTTCACTATTCAAAACGATGCTCTGATAAAGACACATCTATGTAAAATCAATTACTTGCAGACTGCCAGAGATTGCTTAGCAACTGCCTGTGTGTTTAGAGAAGTAGGTAACCATGGATGAATTACAAGGACAATGAAGAAGTCCTGGAAATAAATCTGTTGTCTTGGTCCTAGATGAAGTTAAATACTGGGCTGTATGTGCTGAAGTTACTAGGGGGACATCTTCTTCTCTGATCTATTCCTCAGTTAGCCAGATGCAACTGCAATAGTGGTAACAGGGGAGAAGGATGGCAACTGCTTAATTGTAAAATTTGATTTACTCATACTACTATGATGTTTGGCAT